TCTCCATGATCACCATCCGCACGTACAGTCATCAATCMTTGCGCCAATGATATCACCCTCTTCAACACAGCTACCAAGCCCAATGTCTGCGCAACCACGTGTTTCTGCATCGCCGTATCATCTCAATCAAGCCATCCCATCACAGATTCGCTTCCCAGCTTCGTATCAGAACCCTTCATTGCCTAATGCGCCCTACTATCAGCAATAGTTAGAKCYTGTTGTGTGTATATAGATGGTTAACTCGTAGAAACAAGCGGTTAACGCGTAGAAGCAAACCTTTATTGTACATTACCGATGTTGTTTTAATGGTACTTGGTTTTGGTTACCGCCATCTTTGGCTAAATTGTGAAACACTTTAGAGTTTAAACGCTGGAGTTAGGGCATTAAACCCATGAAATTATTAGTTGTAATTAGTAAACAAAACAGTCAAACAATAGAATTAGCGACCAACTAAGGTATAAATAGTCTAAATTCTATTTCACGGGTTTCTTGCTCTATCTCCGTCTCCGTGAAACAGTACACGATAATAGATAGTACCGGTTGAAAATGGCATCAAGGTAAAAAGAGCGATTTTTACCGGACTGTCACATAAAGTTTTTTTTTGTCAGAGTGGCTTTCCTTTAGTGTGAAACAGTACTCGGTAAAAGTTCGTAGTGATCACGAAACTTGCTTTTTGTTCGCTATCTACTAGCAAGAATAATCGATGGCAATTTTCTTTCACATTCGCAAAAAGCCACTCTATTTCATCAGTACTGTGTCACGGATCGAGTGCTTAAACTCTAAAAATTGGCGGCATCTATTGAACTCGGCAATATTGTACATTGTAGTGTCATATTTTTGTAGGTATATTATCAGTGTTTGGTAACCTACGGTATTCAGACTTACACACAGCGTTCGTTAATAACGTTCCTTGTATTATAGGCATCAATTACAGTGTATTTTAGAGTACTTATAGTGTGAAATAAACAGAAATCTAAGAGAATCTAATTATTGGTCTGGTTAATGTGAACTAGGGGTTACACCCTTCGGGAAGAGGGATGATGGGGGAAAGAGTCGAAGAGAAAAAATACATCAAAGCATGACCAAGTGTGAAAGAATGTTATAAAGCGGAATAGATGTGTAACAGGAAAAATGACAGCTAAAAATAAAGTGAGATCAGAGACAACTGCAACGGTGCACGACGAAATAAGGAGAGGAGACTGGAGCGGAGAAAAAGCGTAGTCAATATCATTGTGATTGCGCATGTGACACAAAGCAGAGAATGTTCGAGTATGTCAAAAAGACGAAGGACATCGCAGGCTCCCCTAACTCCTGACAAGGCTGCGTTTAGCAAAGCTGCGTGTACGAGTTACGATGTWAATAAAACTGGAAAATAGAAAATAATACGAGAGATTGTAATATTTGAGCCAGTGACAGTATGATACTGAGCACACAAACGGATTTCCTGTGTTATCCATATATGGATAGGATTTTTTACGTCATGCATGACCAGGTCAAATCAGTTTGTCGACTTTGGCTGACTTTGATCATCCAGACTTCGGTTGTGGTCGAACTCAGTGCTGGTTCACCTCGTAATTTGGCTTCGTTTCTCCGTTACAAGACTACAGAAAGAAATAGAAAGCTTTTTTCGCTTTGTGAGGATGGAGATAGCAAGAAAGTGTCCGTTTTTAGCGCGAGTTCCGTCGAATTTCATCCGCCATGCTAGGCCTCCAGTGTTGATGTCGTTTGCGGAGACTTGTCCAGTTATGTCCCAATTGCTGGATACTAAGACTCCAGTGGCGCCTTTGAGCACTTCTGGTAAGATAGGTAGAAGTTATTATTTACTGTCATATCGGCGAATTCTCTTATCGAGCAGTTGTTGTCGTTCCACAGGGGCTAGATCCAAGGCTGACTCAACTGCTCACCCCAAACTTGTTGATGGTAAGTGAAAATGTACGATTGTACACCCAAAATAAACAACAAAGATTGTAGCTTCTCTGAATGTGGAAGAGAATTGTTGTCTTATCTTTGAAAGCGAAGAAATTCTCTATATTATTTTTAAGATGATAAGGGAAGAGTATGGAATTTTCGTTAAGCTTRTGTAGAAAACAGTCTTGCATAACAGCTGTACTAAACTCCGTGTCATGAAATATTTATTCTCACGACATTGCACTTTTGATGTGTATTTTATAATTAGTTATAGTATTWCACTGAATCAGAAATAAACTTGTTAAAAAAACTTTTAAACCATAACTTTCTTACGWAATAATAAGTTCTGCCCACTCTGCTTGAATGACAGATGAGTATCAACAAATGAGTCTCAGAATTTTTATATGCGGGCTCAGTTTTAAAAAAGGTTTTAAATTTTTGATGGGTATCTAGCATATGTTTGTGTGACACATTTTATTGGCAAATTTCGATTTAAAATTATCCTGCTAACATAAACCAGGCAGCCAAGCGGTTTATCTGGCTTATCCTTGAAGACTGATATGACAATAGATGAGATTCAGAACCTTGTAAAGGTCTTTGATGATTTCATGTTAAATTTAAACTATCTTAAAGTCTTTGCTAGAGTCAGTTGTCACTAGTGTTGCAAGGAATTACAAAATGGAACTCTGTATTACCTAGTAAAGCCTAAATGTAGTTTKGTGAAGCTTAAAAATGAAAATATACATGGTTAATTGCATTTTTTATTTAAGAAATAAAACATTTTTTCCGTGCCTTCATAGCGCTACGAAAACCCAGGCGTTTGTTTGGGAGAATTCGAGAGCAGATCAGTGAAGCACGAGACCTATCTGCTCTCAAATTCTCCCAAACAAATGCCTCGGTTTTCATAGCTCTATGAAGGCACGGAAAAAATGTTTTATTTTGGTTTGTCACTTAAACTGTCCTGGACCAGGAAAAAAAGAGCGACCTGACAGACTGGTAGAATCAGTCTACTCAAAACCTACAAGAAACAAGAAATAGTAATGCAGAATATTTCTTAACTAGTTGTTTCTAGGTTTTCAGATGAGTTTTTGGCTTTTTTTTCCTATTCTAGTTCTAGTTTTGAGATTTGCACTTGTAAAACTGGTGACRTCAAACCATGTTTTCATACTGTTGTGAAAACACAGTACTCGGCCAATCAGAACATGCRTAGTATAGTAGTTATTTTATAAATTATGTTGGCAATATGTTTGCTGTAATATTGAGATCAGTTATTTCACAAAACTATCAAGCAATTATTCACTCTGCCAGCTGTGGATTGTATTTTTTATCCCTAATTAGATTTTCCATGCTGGGAAGTTAGAACTACATGAATTTCRAATTAAGTTTTGCAATGCATCTTACAAATTGAATTCTTTGTATGATAAACAATGATGAAGATCTGTTATTGTTATTTGTTTCCATCAAGGGATCTAGCTCCCAGGCCATCCCTTCTTGATAATTTCCCTCAAAGTGTTCAATGTTATCAGTCCCATTGTTTCTTGGGTTTCTATTTTTGCTCCTTTTTTTCTTGTGGACTTTCTTGCCCCAGCACCAAACTTAATTTGATGATGAAGATCAAAGTCCAACAAAGTTTTTTGAGTGGTGTGTTTCTGTAAGGAAAATTAAACTTTATTCTCAATGTGGCGTAAGCCTTTGTTATTCATACGCCAACCAGAACTTGATTGTATGTTAGAACAAAGCGACTGTGAAATGCCATTCTGATCAGATTGGCACATTCACATAAGAATGAGTGTTGATAAACATTAAGTATTGCTGCTATACTTGAATGCATGATCTGATTGACGTCAATCAAGACAGGTTAAGAGATAATATTTCCTGGMCATGACTGCTTGCACACAAATTATTTTGTACACATCCTACAGTGTATAATTATATTTCATGACTTAGACGGCTTCAAAAAAGCTCAATTATTTTGATAACTTCTACTGTTTCTTGATCAATGTACAACTTTCACAATGGCCAACACTAATTAACATATTATTGTTAAATTCATAATGTTGACAAAAGAAAACACTCAGATGATATCAAATCTAAAGATAAGCTCTGAAAGTTTCAAAGAAAAATATTAAATCCTCTGGAAGTTATAAGGGTTGGAAGATACACAAAAACACCAAAACGAGGCCACCAAGAACTCAGTAAAGAATTTCATACAAATCCTCGTATTTTCATTCCTCCATAACTTCGTTAGTATTTAGTCTATATCTTCAAAATTTTGTACAATTACTTATTTCTGATGGTTCTTCAATATGACAGTGCTGAATATTTCCTTGTTATTGCCTATCATATAAAATCGATAGTAGGCAATTGTGAAAGTGGTCTATTAAGTATTGCTATACTTGAATGCATGAYCTGATTGACGTCAATCAAGACCTCAATTACATGTATGTTGGTAACTCTACTGTTTCTTGATCAATATTTGGACYAGCAAATTTCAAATGCTGTGCCCCCACTGCAGTATTTGCTCAATTTCCACAAACACCAATATATGAAAAGGACATAGTATATTTTCTGTAAACAAAGTAATTTGGTAATTAAAATCTTTTTCTTTTTTTTTTTTTTGATCATTCCGAACACTCCCTAATTTGCAAAGGTACTGGCAGCAGGCATGGATGGTGTTCACTGCAGTGTACTAGACAGTGTAATATATATTCTGTCTGACTCTTTTTATTTTCTTRTTACGTAAGCTTGAAATTTTAAGTGTATAATCAAAAATCAAAGACGCAAATTWAGACATTTTTATATTATGAAAAATTTATGCAAATAATTGTAAAATACTTCAATATTCCATAAGTTTCAGTCAGTTAAAAAACAAAATTGAAACAGAAAACCAAAAAGAATATCAATTAGATCTCTGTAAAGTGTGTTTATGATCTGTGATGATAGARAAAAGAAAAGACATTTGATAAAAATAAAATAGTTATAGATATTGATTGAAATTATATAATACTAAGTTTCTCGACAAGAGAGTAGGTGGCCTGCTATTGGGACTGGTAAATAAAGTTATGCAATCACTCACATGCTAAGACATAGGCAGGGGTGCTTGAAGATTTTGAAAATGTATTAYATGCTACTGAACCATTACTTTACAATTTTTGTTTTGTATTTTGTATTGTATTGTTTTTGTTTTCAATGTATGGTGAACCTAAATTTTATATCTGTCCATAGGGTATGGAAAATGCCCTTTCATGAAAACTGTTGGCACCAATCCACTAATACCAAGCCAGGAAGTTACTTTGGCTGAAAGTAAAGACACTACTGGATTAGGTATGTATAGTGATGATAATCATCAGCCAGTCCATTCATATAGTGACCACTTAGTCAGTCAGATTAGAGCGGATTTCATTTAAGTAGGAAACAGACGGTACTGTACTGTGACCGTAACCGTTACTACTGTAAACAAATTCTAGTGCCCCATTGGTTCACCAAAATTGTGCAGGCCAGGTGCGGTAACTGTGCGGTAACCGTGTGGTAACGGTGTCCCACTCATACGAAATCCGCTCTAACTATTCAAAGTTCAACAACTAAAAAAGACAAATACTTTGTTTCATCATTTTGGTTTATGTTTTTCAGAGAAATGTGGTTTTTCCTCCAAGAGTTTCAAGAATGACGCTGTGAGTGCAGTCAAAAATGTTGGCTTTAACTTTGGAGGAATGGCTAAAATGTATTCAACTCCATCAATCAAGCACCTCCCCTTTGCTATGAGAGCCATGTCAACAGACTCTTCAGTTCCAGGTCAGCTTTACACCATTCAACCTGATCTGATTATTGAAAGTCAATAATAATAATAATTAAATAATAATTAAATTTGATAATCCAAATTTTCAAAAYTTTCAAAAGGCAGATTTAGACAGCACAACTTTTGCTTACAACCATTGCATGCAACCTGCGTAAGTCATCCTTATAACATGTCTACAACTGTCGTAGGGATTAAAAACAATTGCTCAATAACCCTACGACAGYTGTAGATATGTTGTAAGGATGACTTACGCAGCTTGCATGCGATGGTTGTAGGCAAAAGTTGTGCCGTCTGAATTGGCCTAAAAGGAGACAAAGTGCCTACCATCGACTTTATACAATTAACAATATTGTAGAAACATTCAGCTCTGTTATTTGATAGAAATATCAGAAATAGACATTTGTGGAAAGTTTTGAATCTATGGACCAAATACTAACAAAGTTATGGAGGAATAAAAATTCAGAGATTTGTATGGAATTCTTTGCTGAGGCCTTGGTAGCCTCGTTTTGGTGTTTTTGTACCTCTTCTCACCCTTATAACTTTAAGAGGRTTCAATCGTTTTCTGTGAAACTTTCAAAACTTATCTTTAGCTTGGATATCTATCATCTGAGTGTTTTCTTTTGTCAACAAAAGAATTTAACAATAATATGCTAATTAGTGTCGGCCATTATGAAAGTCATCAATAGATAGCATGTCCTCAGTACTGTGTTTATGTTGTATAAATGTGAAGGAACAAATTAAACTAAACATGTTGATATGTGTATTTTTCTATCTTCAGAGCCATCCCAAGAGGCAGAAGGGTTTGATTATGATAAGTTCTTTGAGGCTGAGATAGAGAAGAAGAAGGCGGACAGTACATACCGTGTGTTTAAAAGGGTTAAYCGCCTTGCCATGGACTTCCCTCATGCTAAGACTTACRGTAGTCAAGCTGATAGTAAAGATGTAATGGTTTGGTGTAGTAATGACTAYCTTGGTATGAGCAGACATCCTGAGGTACTGAAGATGGCCAGGTATGTCCAAAAAGAACCTTGTAATGTTTAATGGAATGTAAATATAGAAAATCTAAATGGGAAGAGACAGAACAGCAAGAGAAGTGTCTGAAAACCAAAAAAACAAACTCCTTCTTTAACTTCTCCTGTGAAATGCTATGCACAAGTACTCAATAAAGCACTGAAAACGAGCTTTCAATCCTGTTGTATATTTCTTCAAGTTTTCAAACAATAAAAATACTGTGTTCTTGCATTTCAATCAGGGAGACTATTCAGGAACATGGAGTTGGTTCAGGAGGAACTCGGAACATTTCTGGCACCACAAGCTTCCATGAATCCCTTGAAGCACAACTAGCAAGACTTCACAACAAGGAAGCAGCTTTAGTCTTCACGTCTTGCTATGTGGCTAATGATACCACTTTGTACACTCTTGGCAAACAATTGCCAGGTAAATATAGGGTTTCTGATCCAAAACCTTTATCCAATTTGCAATATTTTGTGAAATCCCTTACAAGATGTTCTGCTGATATAGTGATTGAAATGCAATATCGTCATCATTGTTGAAGTAGTTGTTGCTATAATTGTTGTTGTCATTGTTGTAGTAGTTGTTGTTTCTGTTGTTGTAGTAGCTGTTGCTGTTGCTGTTGTAGTAGTTGCTGTCGTTGTTACTGTTGTTTTTGCTGTTGCTCTTGTAGTAGTAGCTGTTGTTGTAGTAGTTGTTGTTGCTCCTGTTGTTGCTATTGTTGTTGTTGTAGTTGTCCTTGTTGTTGTTGTTGCTCCTTTTGTTGTTGCTATTGTTGTTACTGTTGTAATAGTTTTTGCTTCTATTATTGTCATTGTTATAGTAGTTGTCGTTGTTGTTGCTATTGTTATTGCTGTTTTTGTTGTTGCTCCTGTTGTCATTGCTATTGTTGTTAATAACTTATTTCCATATGTTTCAGGATGTCAGTATTTCTCAGACGCGGGTAACCACGCATCCATGATCCAAGGAATACGTAACAGTGGTGCCAAGAAGTTCATCTTCCGCCACAACGATCCTGCACACCTTGAAGAGCTTTTAAAGGCAGCTGATCCCGCGGTGCCTAAGATAGTCGCCTTTGAGACTGTTCACTCGATGACTGGTGATATTTGCCCATTGAAGGAACTCTGTGATGTTGCACACAAGTATGGTGCTCTTACTTTCGTGGATGAGGTAATGATTGACATCTTGATAGCTACAATAGGTGTTCAAACGGACACACAGACAGTTGCAGACAGACTTTTCCATTAGTAAACATTTTTTGTTATAGAGTGCATGCCACATAAGCATGAAACAATTCTTAATATTTAGCGCCTAATAAGATTTAGTT